CGGAAGAATCTCTACCTTTCCATATTTTTATATGATCGCTCGGGCGTACTAGAATATTGTTGCAAAATGATATTCGCCGGACCAAGAGCTATTCTTTTCGAAGTAAATAAGTACACACCTGTTTGAAGTTATAGCCGGGATCACTTTTGACGGTGCTTAAGCCAGACGACCTACCCGCTAATACTAATACAGAATACATGCACAGTCTCTCAGACCAATTCTGTGCTCAGCTCACGGACTACAAGCGAGCGATAACACAAGCCGTATGAAACCATCAGAATTAAATAGCTATTAAATAGTTATAAACCAGACTATTTATGATTGTAGATTCGAATTATTTTCATAGCGTGCCTGGTCTCAGCCTGGATTCCACCAGCTTGCCTGTTGTTGCCTGTTCTATTGGTATTAATATTTAACTTCCATGGTATTTGATGAGTCATAGATGAAAAGAATTGCCTTTGTTTTATTCTAAATAAAATAGTCCATGATTTATCTTTTTGGCCTACCCATGCCGCGTGTCGGCATGCGGCGGTGTGAGTGTGGCTGGCAGTGTGGCCGTGAGGCGTGGGCTGTGGCCTTGTAAAAAGAAACTTTTGTTTTGGTTTGATATATAGAGATTTTTTAGCCACATTTCCACAGCTTCCAAAATTCGTGAGCATTGAGTCCCATACTCTGACCTAATTTCAACGATGGTACCTTGTTACGCTCTGCCTGAGTGCTTAGTAGTTTAAAACATAACACTGCGCTGTCTGTTGTTACGATACCGTCGGTCTTTGCCGGGTCCGGAATTTGATCTATATACCTAGAGTCTTCTCGGTTATTTAGAGAATATGCGTGCGAGTCGGACTGTTGTTCGCCGAACTCGGAATGTGATCAAGATTAGTCAAGTCTTCTCCCGGCGACTCAGTTATGTGGAGCCTTTGCGTGCGAATCGGACTGTTGTCCCGAAGGACCATCCATATCCGAAATCAGTCTGAATGTGAAATGAAAGTTTATAAAGAAATCATGGACTCACGTTGGATTCGAGATTGTGTAAAATATTGGCCAACTTAAGTTGCTATTTCTAAATGGGCTACGTGCCCTATCATCATTCAACAATGTGCGCAACAATTTCGCATAACAGAGTATAGATAATGGCGATGTCTGATTGAAACAACGTATATATTATTTCAAACACTCACACTTACCACCGAGTCCACCTGCGATAGCAGGGCGCCTCCGCCGCCGGCGGTGAATCTGATGTCAACACTCGCGCACTTCGTTTCATCGCGTAGTACACCTCGGGCTTCTTCTAGAGCTACCTTCCAATCTTCCAGCTTAGCAGATTGGCCTTCCACTTGCGCCAAGGTAACAACCTGCCCATTGGTCTTGAATCCCCCCGACCCACCTCCGATTGTAATCATCTCCTCGGTGCATGCAAAGTTCGAAAACTGGACACGAAAGATCGTACAGTGGATGTCAGCGGAGATCAATTTATATACTTTGCACTATAATCTAGCCAAAGAATTACGAACCATGATATACATACATACCTCGGTATTTTTGCAAGCACCGTAGGCGAATATTTGTATTCCTCTCCCACTGCCACCACCGATTGTAGATACGATTTCGAAAAAGTCCATTTGAGCGCCTCCGCCTCCGCCACCCCCCAACGACAGAATAACATAGGTATCATCACCACTTGGTATGTTGCAAAGAACATCGACACCATAGCCATTGCCACCACCGAAGTCAAACTTTTCTGAAGGCGCGACAGTCCGATTGACCAAAAACTGTTGCCAGTCAAATTCTAAGCCTCCGTCACCAGCTAATTCGAACGCAGAAGATGAAAGTTCCTGACTTATTGACACGGTTCTATTTAAGCCAAAGGTACTAGCAATGACGTTAATACCTAATTCATCACCTTCGTATAGCGGTAAGTGACAAAAGTGCGCATCCGGCAATGACAATTCTGGATCTAAACATTCTTTTCTCGGTGTACTAAGAATTTGTAAGAATGTATTTCCTTCTTCTACTGTCACCGATTCTGTCAAATTTAACACGGCTCTCGCTGGTGCATTTTCTGGGCGGAAAAATGTTGCAGTAAATTGGTCCAGTGAATTTATTTTGGCTGTGATGCTATCGTCAGAATTTGCCACTTCGAATAATGCAGATGGGATCAGCTCCGACTGTGCTAGGGCTGAGAACAGATTCTCTTTCGCAATATCTAATTGAGATGCAACCCAGTCTTTACCTTCACTCCAATCCACCTCTTCAGCCTCTATTTCAACGAGGTTGTCAGGGGTTGTCAGAAAACGACGCTCTCTACTTGAAGGAATGGAAATCGAATTAACCGAAGCGCTATGACTAGCTATGCCAACGATGGCTAAAATTGTAATTATTGAATATGTCATCTGATCTTTTGAAAACTCTGGCAAGCAAGTTATTGTACTAGATTCATGTGTGCTGGTTATATATTAAAAGGGATATAAAGTGTATTCATTGGGTTCCTACTTGCACGTGCAAATTGCAATAGGTATTACATATAAATACAATACGATATTTAAAAAAATATTATTTTAAATAGAAAAAATTACACATTTGTTTTTGATGTTAGAAAAGTAAAAACAAAATATTTACAACCAATGAATTTCAAAATGTATTTATACACATTTTGTAAAAACAAAACATTTTCTATCACAAAAGAAACGCTGGTACATAGAAAACGACACACCGGTCAATAAATACAAACTTTTATTTAGAAGAATCTCAAAGAGAATCTATGAAAATCCGATTGGGAATGGATATTTTATAAAATACCATGATGGATACGGTCGTTTACCAAATAGATTCAACACTGCGATTTTGTCGATTAAAGTACATAATCTATTATAATCGAGCAGGATCTACTGGTTGGGAATATACATTTTGTTGTTTTATTATTTATGCTGATGTTCGCAGCTGATGGTAGGGATTATTTTATATAAATAAATATTTACATTCATTTAGTCCCCTTTTTTTCTTGTTGTTTTTGGAAACAATTTTGTTTTTTATTGAAGAAATGCAGTATTTAAAAAAAAAAAATTTTTACAGCGGTCAGCGGAATATTTTTTTAAAGACATACTATACCGTACAGATGACACCTCTGGACTGTTGTCCAGTCTCCATAGACTCCACTACGGATCTCAACCAAAAAGGGAATTGGGATGGGGAATCTGTCAGTCTGAGACATCTAGATTCTAAATAGAGTGCATTAGGATTGTGCCTTTAGGGTCTTGACTTTTGAGGTGGACGGACTGAAGGACATGGAGCATGAGATGACTTGAAGATGACTCTTCTAAACTTTAGTAGAGCCCATACTCTACTAGGTCTTGGTCTTTGTACACTTTTAGTTGTGGTAGTAAGCATTAACCTTTGTTATTTACCCACAACAATCAAATTAAACCAAAGTGTACTGTCTACTCAGAATTTTCTTTTATGAATGTAAGGCAGTGAGAAATAAAGCCAGAAGCGGTCAAGCGTAAACCTAAAAGAACTAAAAATAAAAAGCATGTATCCGTTTTGTAGCCGCATGTCCTGAGAGTGGCTAGTTTTCATTTATGCTTATTGTAACCCATTGTCCAGTTTCTGGTGACATTTGACTGCAAATTACTGCATGGTCGGTATAACATTCTGCTTCTCTCTATGTAAAAACCCTTCCACCTGCTTTTCTGTCACAAAACCATTATCGCACACCATTCGCAGTACAATAAACCAAGGCCCATTTCACTGTGGCGCAGACTGTCTGTGTGTGAGGCATAGCTTTTTATGAATAGCAGGCTGGGTGAGAGAACTCGAAACGCCCTTACTGACTAGTATTGACAAGTATTAAAAAAAAATCTAACGCAAATCTGTTACGAGGAGTAAATTTTAGATACCGGGTACATTGTAAACAAGGCTCAGATGGAACGATTGTCACCGACACAATATCTTCAATAACGTCGAAAATTAATGGCACCTAGACCGTCGTATCTGATCGTTGTATGTGGGAAGCTAGATCAACCCCTCGAAAAGACTTCAATAGTTGTTCATACAGGTGGCGTGTGACCAGGATCCAGAACACAAGGTAAAATCCACTGACATAGTATCACATTATCTCTACACTGCCATCTTTATTATAATGTATACTTTTATCGCTTGCTCGAGGTACTGAAGTCGTAGTGGGCTGATGAATATTTACTGAATGCTTCGAGCCCGACGCAAGTATGAATGTCTTTGACATAACAAGAATTTTCCTTCGTATACTTGCAGTCTGAATTCCTGCCGATAAACTACCGTTGTACCTCCATATTCCTGAGAATATAGGTTGAAATATATGTGTAGCATACGCCTCTATTCCATAGCTTTGAAATGACAGACTTCAAAAATCACAATGTATCCTATAAACTGGTGTGGCATAAATAAATAGCCTTCATGTTCAATGTTAAGGCTATGGGGCTACATATGGGCGAGGGAATATAAAAAATAAATGTTTTGTTTTTGTGTGAATTTGTCAAATTGAATGACTCATCGTTCATCATGATTTTGTACCGCACTTTCCCATATATGCCGCCACTTTTTGGAGGCGCTGTTTGATTGGCTTATTTTCTAACATCTGCAACCTTAACCTTTGTGTGCTTTTCGGAGTGAAATATGCACAGAATCAGTGATCAGTGATCACAGCTGGATTGTAAACTTCACACCATTACAGGCACATACATTAGTAGTACTACACGCTGTGATATCGACCGTACTTCCGGTCCTTCGCACTCACTTAATTACAAGTGCGTACGGGTTGTACGATGTGCTTTCAAGTGCAGTCGCTCAGCGTAGTTTGCATTTGATTATCCATGGCATTAAGAAGTCTGGAATATTGAAGAAATACTCCAGCTGCCCTCTACAACACCCACGTCTGGACAGACTACTTAATACTTGCATAGATTCCAAACCGCAGGAATCTAGTCAGCTAGGTAGATTTCAAAATCCAGCCATATCTATCAGTGGGAACATAGATCAATTCTGCTAGAGAGATATTCTGACTCTCCGACCACGCACAGTCTCGTTTGCTCTCGTTCACATATGCAACACGACACCATTGTTTTCAGTCACATCCACAACACACACATCCCTACACTTAATACAAAAAATCGTTTACATCTGCATCATGGGAGATAGAAACAGAGGCAACAAGAAGCTTGTGCAGTACCGTCAGGGTGCTGGAGGCGGAGATGACGTGGGCGCTAAAGGCTCCTCCGGGGGGGGGCAAACAGGGGGCTAATCCTTACTTCGATGGGCTGTCTATTGAAGAACAAGAAGATATAGCTAACAAACATATAGAAATGGATGAGAAGTTTAACTTTTACAGACTCAAGAATACGCCGCAGAACACGCCCGAGACGGGATGGCTGATTAATATGCACACGGTATGTACTGTTTTACATACATATATTTTTATATGCAAATTTTACACCTGTTTACATGTAGTCTGGACCTCATCGACCTCACCCAAATGCTGTCCGGGTAAATTATTGTGGTGTTTGATGCAAAGAGTATTGTAGACGATACCACTACTCCAGAAGTCATATTGGTATTCAAATTTCTTTTAGTGTGTATTGTTCCCTAGATTATTTTCATACTCCAAGGTTGTATAGGTGCTACTTAGACTGTCGACAAAACTGGCAGCTTAGCACATCCACACACACACACACACACACACACACACACACACACACACACACACACACACACACACACACGCGCGCGCGCCACACACACACACNCACA